TTGGTTATGGACACGAAGGCCAATACGTGTCCGATCATCTTGAATCTCTTTACGATGACGGTTCTTACAAACCTCATGTCTATCATCATTAGAACATTATTTTAAAAAGAAACTTGCTCCCGAGGCTACTGTGTAAAGACCTATATTACAGGACAGCTTAGGACAGATTGAAATATTTTGTTAAAATGTTCTGAAACTCATTTTGTGATATCCGCATTTAGCGTTTAAATAATACTTTTTGTAAAGAGATATAGAAATAAAAATATTTCGATTTTTGAAACATTATTTTGTTTGTTTTTCTCACCCACCGAAAGTACTTAGAACGTTACGAAAGTATAAGCTGTGAAAGCTAAAAGAGTGATAAATAAATGCAGCCCAATTACTCGATAAACGCAATGATTAATTGATAAATAGTTGAATATGATATTGCTAAATAACTTTCTATCTAACTTCTACTTTTTGCTAAACTTGTTCGTTATAACTAACTTTTTTAATCTATTACTGAAGTAATTGACCATTCAAACTTAACAAAAAAGTTAATATAATAGTTATAAATGCTATAAATACCGAAGTCCACAAAATTAAAACACATTGTTTAGTACCAATCAACCATGGCTAAAGGGCGAGTTATTCATCAGAGATTTCATCGGAAGATCATGGAAATGCACTATTTCGAAATTGATCGGAATTTACGAGTATTTATTAGTTATTCAAGACTGAACACCTTTAATAAACAGCACAAATGGCGAAACCATTTATCGTTGTTATGTTGAATTTTCAATAATTCTGTTCATTTTTGTTCCATTTGCGATTATTAAATAATAACTCCAGTTATTGCATTTTTATTAGTTCAATAAATTCATTTTAAAAAAGGTTCTCTGCTGCAAAACCAAGTATGATTCCTGATACTTTTACAAAGAAAATAAACTTGTATTTCCGAAAAGTGTGTAAGTCAATACACCCTTATAAACCTGTTTAAACTGAGAATATTTCAATTACTTCTAACCTTGAAATATAAACAACTGGCCTAGTGATTAAATGGTATGAATGAACTTACTTATTATCTGTATACCAAATTTCACCGATAGAAAGAAAAAGTATTTTTTTAAATCTTTCTTTGTGTTAACTTGTTAAAGAACTGCACCCGTTTGACTTCAGACCTAACATCATATCAAGAGCACCAAAGCAAATAGAAATAAAGCCTGTTTTTCACTACTTTAAATTAGATAGTACAAAATGCATTGCTTTGCTCAATACAAAAGCTGAGCTGATCATTTCGCGCAAAGTTCTTCAAATCGGTCAGTTGTTCAAAATTAAGACAAATACATTATATCCAGTTTATGCCCAGTTCAGCTGACGTAAATCGACAATATTTAAGCAAAGTTTTAATGTGTTCCATCAAAGAATATATAAGCTTACATATTTAGGTTGGACATTATTTAAGCAATAAAGAGTTTCCCTCGTATAACTACCCGTGAGTACTACTGCCTCAGATATGTGAAATTAATATGCGTATCTAGCAAAAGAAAACAATGGTTTAGGAGAGTGACATACATCCACTTATACCGAC